TAATGGAACACTAAAATTCTAATCAAATTATTTTTAGACTGCTCAAGAGATAATTTCAATACCTTTTCTTGAAAATGTAGGAGCTGTCCACAAGAGAAAAAAGCCAAATGCATAACAATGTGCTTGGGTGAGATTGAAGGTTCAAGGTATGTGTCCATGGTTGCCATGTTTTAGAAATTGTACTTACATTTATCCTGCAAATGTCTTGCTGGCTCACAAGAGGCTGGTTTGCCCACAAACACCTGCAGAGACACAATAAATTTAAGCAAAACATCCGTAAGGTTTGTGAAAATGTGACCAGCTTATCGGCTGTGCCTGTGTTGCAAAGGCAGGTTACATGTGCTGTGGTGCTAGCTGTCATGCTTGCGTTAGCATGTGGGCGCACAAGCACGTGCGCTGTGGACCAGCATGTGCACTGTGGACTAGTGATGTGACGTTCCGTGTCGAGTCTTCGAAGCGTGTGCCGAGTAGGGAGGGGGCGTTTCCGCGAAGCGCTTATCGAGGCTCGATTCATTTAGGGGAGGAGCTGAAAATGATGACGTCCGAAGCCTCGCTGCCGCTGCCCGGCTGTACCACGTGACTGATTCAGGAAGTGGTTCGGGTTTTGCCGCGAGTTTTGACAGCGATATAAACTGCTCAGTCTTCATTCAAAATGTGGGTGTTTGATGGAGAGTTGCGATCAGTGAGAGTTTGGAAGTTTGGAGACAGTTTAAACTCACAAAAAACAATTCTTATTTCTTAGGTAACAACCTGTGGCGTCGCCTGGATGACAGAGTCAGGCAGACACAGACACAAAATGTAATAGCAGACGCACATATTGAGGTCCAACGGTGCATGATGGAGCCAAATATTGGAAGGCTGGAGGACCAATACTGGGAGAGACAGAAATATGTCTGTCCCCATTTATATAAATTAGCAGTGGCATTCTTGTGTCCGCCTGCCTCATCTGTGCCCTGTGTTTTCGAAAGCAGGAGAAATATTGTCAAAAAAAAGAAATCGCCTGAGACCTGCCACAGTGTAGAAACTGTTGTTTTCAAATAAAAACCAATGATGTGTCCCCTGAACCATAATCACCCAACGTTACAAAAGCACAATCAATGTCCATACTCCAACCCCAACCACCCTCACCTCACTGTAAATGATCATTAGCTTTTTCATAATTTCCAAATAATAATTTTCCATACTGCCAGTATATATATATAAAAGTATTTATATTTATATATATTTATATATATATATACACACACAGTATACATCACTACAATATACATGTTTTGCATACTTCTTTACTTTGCTGACAGTTTTATTCACAGGCTTTCTGCAAAATGCAACACACTTCAAATTCATGTCAACTGATATTTTTTGCATCCAGTAGACGTCCTACTAGAGCAAATGAAGCTTCAGGAAGCTTTGCACCAGAGTGAACCAATTGGATGAAAGGCTTCAATGCTTCATGAAGCTTCATCTGCCCATCACTACTGTGGACTATACTCGCTTCGAGTTCTGTAAATGCCTTATACAAGACCACGAAATCTTCCAAAAGCATAAAATCGGTATAGCCATATGTGAGGCCATGCTAACGGTAAGAATAAAAGTTAGCTAGCATTGGCACAAGCATGACTGAGCTAATCAAAGTATATGGAACATCAACCGCTACTCTTAAAATATCGATGAGAAAAAGAGGATATGGTTCTTATATATACAACAAGACTACATACTGCTCGACAAGTATGTGTATTTTGAAGATGTTACCTGATTAAATCCTGCGATGGCAGCCTGCCTTGACCGTGGCTGACGGTGGTCGCACGATGCAGGAACAAACAAGGGTGCATACCGCGCATGCGTTGACACTGAAGCATGACATCACGTTTCAAAATAAAACACGGGTGGTGCATGGCTGCTGGGTACCAACATTTTACTGATGACGAAGTAGTGAATTTGTTCCTAGATGTGCCTTGTTGTAGACCTTGTTATGCTTATGACCAAATGTTTATTCAATGCTCTACCTTTATTTCATTTTTTGATTATTTTATTTTTAAGATGCAACTGCCCTTACAGCGGCATTGTCATTGCCATTTCCTCCCAGACGCAAAAGCAAGCCACGCCCCCAGTGAATTTGAGTCATTATTTATAGCGCTAATTCTGAGCTTTAGGCATGTTTTCTCAAGAAAAAAAACTAAAAGAAGCCAAAATTGTCCTCCAAGTGGCAGATCTGCCCTATATGGCCGACAACAGCGGGGATGGTCTCATTTTGAAGCTAAGAGTGTGAGGAAAACAAGCGTACCCAAGAGCTCAGAGAGGGAGAAGGCTCGGAAAGGCAACATATATTTTCATCCGTTCATACGGACGAGGATTTTTCTGGATTATTTACCCACATGGAATTATTTTTATTTTCTGTGGATTATTACGGACTTATTGAGTACAACTTTTCATGAACGCGTTTTGGACCGACAGAACCGGCTCAAAGGTAAGAAACGCGCGTATCTTATTCTTTGATTATGATGTGAATCGCATTTTGGGCTCGTTGTATGGCATAAAATGAATGATATGGTTGTTTTATTGAGAAATTAAGCTTTCAAACGATGTATGGCATGCCAGTAGTGAAAACAATAATGAAGGTGAATATACAGAGTGAACATTTTTTATTGGAAAATCGCCCGCCGGCGGGCGGGTGGATGGTATTAAACACTTAAGGTTGGCATATGTGTGGAGCACCACCACTCACGGAGACCAGACGGGGAATGTTCAGGTGCATAGGGCGTGCGCTTGGGTTAACGTCATGATTGTGCTTTGAGAGTGAATGAATGGGCATACCGCTTCATTACGTGGACAAAAACGCAATCTGATATTATATTGTTGAATATAATGAAGTGAGAAGGACAGTTTTGTTGTGCCATGTGTGGCACCCCAGATAGAGGACAGTAGCAGCAGCAGCATTATATGTCCGGATGTGTTTGTGGTATCCTGATCATAATGGGAGTTCCACAGATCTAGAAAGAAATGTTTTGTATTGTGTTGTGTAGCATTGGCTATGAGACTGTAATTACATGCAAAGGCCATATATTATTATTTTACTTTTAAAACATTAGCTTCATTCATGGCTATGTGCATACAAATACATATACAAATTATTATTAGTCTAATCAAGCTCTGTATATAAAAATGTTAAGATAATGATGATGAAAATAAAGTAATTTTGATGAAATAGTGGAAAAATGTTGTATGTTATAGTTAATTCTGATTGTTATCCAAATGGATTGTTGAAATCCTTAATTAGCTATAAAGTAAAAAACAGAAGTAAAGTAAAGTAAAAACTATAATTTATGCCTAATTAGAATAATTATGCTAATAATAATTAAAGTAAATAATTTATTGTGCTGAAAATTGGATACATGCATAAAAAAATTATAAAATCTAATTTAGTAGCATTTTTAATTTTTTTTAAATTATACAGCAATCTTTTTTTTTTTTTTGACTAATTTGAGCATTCGAGTTTACAGTGTACAGAGGGTCAGTCTGTAAACTCCACCACAGCATGTTCTGAAAGAAACAATATGCACAACAACAGGTGTGATTATATTGTACACATGTTTAGTTATGAAAGTTAATAAAAGTAGGATAATACAGTAAACTTACAGAGGGTCTGTCTTTACATTTTTGGAACTTGGCCCAGCAGAGGGAATCCTGTAATACATCAAATAAGAGAAACTCAAATATCAGTTTGGATCATTTCAGGCCACAGTGTTTAATCCAAGTGCAGTATTTACTTCCAGAGGGTCTTTATCATGCTGTTACGTCCATCTTCTTATTAACCATAGTATATTCTGAAACAGAGATGAAAAACATTATTTAACTCATAGGAAATACTTTAGTGCAGTAAAACTGAACTCTTTTGTTTTAGTATAAGCCTGAGTATGAACATGAGACGTATTTCACTGCTGTTACTTTTACCACAACATTTAAAATATAATAATCAATTTATGATGGTGTTCATAGTCAATATCAGTGTAATATAGATGTGACACATTAGTGTTCATGTCAACATCTCTCACTGAAAGTCTGAAGCACCGTCTCAAGTCCCATAACAGAAAGTTAGAGACAAAGTCAGATCTGGCTCTAAACTAAATCTTCCCTGTCACAGAAATCATTAAAAGTACTTACTTCTGATCAGCGTGCCGGGCTCCTGATGGAGACACTCAGCAGAAGGACAGGGTCCTGATGTCATCTGGGGAAAAACAACATAAATTTTGGTTGGTTAGCTAACGTTAGCTGTTGTTAAAAAAAATGTCGTAAAAACAAAATAAACTATCTTGTAATTACGAGATACTAATATTATTACTAATCCCCCCCCCCCCCCGGCGGTTATCTCGTAATTACGAGATAATCCCCTCCCCCCTCCAGATTTTTTTTTTTCACTGACTACAATGCTCTTTCGTATATTTTTGAGTTGGTGGGAAAAAAAAAAAAAAAAAAAGAGCCAAATGACCTGCCTGTTTTTTTTTTCCCTCTCTTGCCTCTCAGGCTTTCGTACTTAACTAATAATATTTTCACCATCATCATTTCCTTTAATCATCTTTTATTTTTTAATACAATCTTAAGACATAATTTTAAAGCCATTTTCTTTTTCTTCTCCCCTTTTCTCTCCTTTCCTTTATTATTATTATTATTATTATTATTATTAATAAATTTATTTATTTATTTTTTCACATACAGTATTAGTTTGTCTCTAATATTTAATCCTGTCTTGCGCCTGGTTTGTTTTTATATTTCACACACTCAACAGAAAAAAAAAAAAGAATAAAATAATAAAATATATATAAATATATAAAAATATATAAATAAATATATATAAAAATAAAAATATATAAATAATAAAAATTAAAAATAATAAAAAATAAATAAATAAATAAATAAATAAAACAAAACAAAGAAAACCCACAGACCGTTAGCTGCACGTCTCTGTTTGTCCAGCAGGTGGTGCTGTTGGAGCGCGGCTGATGTTGTGACGTGGGCGTGACTCTTCTGGAAATATTCTCTTCAAATGTGTCGAGTGTGTGTCAAATGTGTGTGTTTTTTTTTTTTTCTCTTGGTGCAGACGTTTATTTTTAGCCGCAGATCGTCTCCTCTGTTTTTAGACTCAGGCTCAGCCAATTACACCTTGGTTTTCTCACAGGATTTATGTTTTGTTTTGTTTTTTGCCATAAAAATTCCTCCTCCGTTTCTCCTCTGTCTATCTCCATCCTTCCTCTTTTCCTTTTCTCTCTTTTTCTTTCTCCCTTTCCCTCCATCCCCTCTCTCTTGCTCTGTCTCTCCTTTCTCTCTCTTTCTCTTCTCCCTCTCTTCTCTTGTCTCTCCCTGTTCCCTCTCTCAATCTTCTCTCTATCTCTTCTCCTCCTATCTCACCCCTCTTCTCTCCCTCTCTCTCTTCTCTCGTCTCTCCCCCTCCTCTCTCTCTCTGTCTTCTCCTCCTCTCTCTCTCTTCTTTCTCTCTCTTGACTCTCCCTCTTCTCTCCCCATCCCTCTCTTCTCTCTCTTCCCCCTCTCTTCTGTCTCTTCTCTTCTCTCTTCTGTCTCTCTTCTCTTCTCTCTCTTCTCTTCTCTCTCTCCTCTTCTGTCTCTTCTCTTCTCTCTCTTCTGTCTCTCTTTTCTCTCCTCTTTTCTCTCTCCTCTTCTGTCTCTTCTCTTCTCTCTCTCTCTCTCTCTGTCTTCTCTCTCTTCTCTCTCTTCTTCTCTCTCTCTCGTCTCTGTCCGTGGTGCTGATTTCTCTGCACATGTTTAGATTTAAATTCTCTACAGGAAACTCTGTGCGTCTCTTTTGTCTCGTTCTCGTCTTTTCCTCTTTTCTTTGTATGAGGTTCTGAAACTCCACATCACGCGCTCTGGACCTGGACCTGGACCTGGACCCAGACCTGGACCCGGACCTGGACTCAGACCTGGACCCGGACCTGGACCCAGACCTGGCCCCGGACCTGGACCCGGACCTGAGACAAAAAAGAAAAACAGAAGAGACACACAAACAGTATATGGAGAGAAATCAGCACCACGGACAGAGACAAGAGAGAAAAAAGAGAAGAGAGAGACAAGAGAGAAGAAAGAGGAGAGACAAGAGAGAAGAGACAAGAGAGAGAAGAGAGAAGAGACAAGAGAGAGAGAAGAAAGAAGAGACAAGAGAGAAGAAAGAGAAGAGACAAGAGAGAAGAAAGAGAGAAGAGAGAGAAAAAAGAGAAAGAGAAAAGAGAGAAAGAGAGAAGAGAGAGAAGAGAAAGAAGAGAAGAGAGAAAAGAGAAGAAAGAGAGAAGAGAGAGAACAGAGGAAGAGAGAGAGCTGAAGAGAGAGAGAAGACAGGCAGAGACCAGAGGAGAGGAGAAAGAACAGAGAGAAGAGAGAGACGGGAGGGAGAAAAGAAAGAGAAAGTGGGAGAGAGATGGAGGGGAGAGTGGGCGAATAGAGAGAGAGAAAGAAAGAAAGAGGAGAGGCAGAGGGAGGGAGGGGCGGAGGGAGGGAGAGGGAAAAACAAAAACAGAGAGAAAAGAGAAAGGGGGAAGGGAGGAGAGAGAGAAAGAGGCGAAACCAGGAGGAGAGAGAGAGAGAAGGAGCAGAGAAAAGAGGAGAGGAGGAGAGGAGTCATTCATTCAGCTCGTTAGTGTCGGATGGAGAGATGCACAAAACGGAGGAGAAGAACTAAAAATAAAAACACGACTTTAAACCAGAACTGAACCAGAAGAACTAAACCAGGACTAAACCAGGACTAAACCAGACTAAAGAACTAAACAGACTAAACCAACTACTGAACCAGACTAAACCAGACTAAACCAAACCAGGACTAAACCAGAACCAGAACTAAACCAGGACTAAACCAGAACTAAACCAGACTAAACCAGAACTAAACCAGGACTAAACCAGGACTGAACCAGAACTAAACCAGGACTAAACCAGACTAAACCAGAACTAAACCAGGACTAAACCAGAACTGAACCAGAACTAAACCAGGACTAAACCAGAACTGAACCAGAACTAAACCAGGACTGAACCAGAACTGAACCAGGACTAAACCAGGACTGAACCAGAACTAAACCAGGACTAAACCAGGACTGAACCAGAACTAAACCAGGACTAAACCAGAACCAGAACTAAACCAGGACTAAACCAGAACTAAACCAGACTAAACCAGGACTAAACCAGAACTGAACCAGGACTAAACCAGGACTAAACCAGAACTGAACCAGGACTAAACCAGAACTAAACCAGAACTGAACCAGAACTAAATCAGGACTAAACCAGGACTAAACCAGAACTAAACCAGAACTAAACCAGGACTAAACCAGAACTGAACCAGAACTAAACCAGGACTGAACCAGAACTAAACCAGGACTATTATTGTTATTACTATAGTTGTTTTAAATTAAATTATCATCACTATTTTACTTAGTCTCCATCTGATCTTAGCTCTCCATTTTCATTTTTACTATAACTTTTAAGAGCTTTATGTTTATGTTTTATGTTTCTGTTTAAATTGTTGTATTTCAAATGTATGAAAAGTGTATATAGTGTAAATAAAGTTTGATGGATTGATTGAAGTATTTTTTCTCAGTTTTACACTCTGGACAGTTCAAGTGTTTTGCCTCTGTCGGGCAGTGTAGTTCTGTGACAGTAACATGAAGAGCGCAGGGTACAGACAGTTCCTTAAATCAAACAGAAGAGATTTTCTTTGTCTCATTGGTCTCTGGAGAAACACTGCAGATGAATGAAATCTTGTTACGGGAAACCTGAAGATTCCTGATAGACCCATGTTACTGAAGAACAGGTTACAAAAGTCTAAAAAAAAACAAAAACAACAACTCCTGATTACATAAAAATAAACACACACTCTTCAGACATAAATAAGGACATTTTAGCCTCTTTCTAAAAACGCTGACGCTCCAAACTTCAGAACCAGAACCACGGAGACAGACCCGCTTCACCTTCAGCTCCACGCTTCCCTCCGCGCGCACTGATGACGTTTAATGTTTACAACGAATGGGCCCTGAAATATGACGTCATTATGTAGTTCTGTCTCTCAAGAGGGTCTGGCTGCAGAAATATGACGTCATTATGTAGTTCTGTCTCTCAAGAGGGTCTGGCTGCAGAAATATGACGTCATTATGTAGTTCTGTCTCTCAAGAGGGTCTGGCTGCAGACACATGAATGTTTTTCAGTCTGTACATTTGATTTATGGTGAAATGTGCCGTTTATTTGGTGTCTCTTTTGATAGTAACTAAGTACATGTACTATAAGAATTGTACTGTAATAAAATAATAATGTAATACATGTAATAAACTGTGGTGTTCCACATGATCATATCTGGCAAAGATAATTTGTTCATTTTTGATTGTCACTTGCTTCAGCAAAGAGGGAAAACAATGAGATTTACTGACATACAGCTGTTAATGCAGTGTGTGTGTGTGTGTGTGTGTGTGCGTGTGTGTGTGTGTGTGTGTGTGTGTGTGTGTGTGTGTGTGTGTGTGTGTGTGTGTGTGTGTGTGTGTGTGTGTGTGTGTGCGTGTGTGTGTGTGTGTGTAATGGGTTTAATGTTTGACTCTTCATATTATGATAAAGTATTTCCAGAAGTTCCTTGGATTGTTTAATAAACCATCTTTTCTCAGGAGAGATTCTTTCTTTCTTTACAAACTGACTGTATAAATCTAATCCCTGGTCCTTAATAATGATGATATTTAGTAAAGCAAATCTCATCACAGTTTTTTTTTTTTACTTTAAGATAATTTTGCCTATTTAAGATGTATCCCTTAAATATAGCCGTTTTGTTTTGCAAAAGTTAAACATACATTTTCGTTTTTTTTAGAAGATTTGGATGCGAAATATTAAAATAATTTGGTCACAAATCCGACAGTTTGATCATCTGTGCGTCTTTTTACTGATCCGTGTGTGGAATCTGCGCGGAGCGTGTTAGCATTAGCATTAGCGCTAGCGCTAGCAGCGTCCCTCGGTTGCTAAGCGACGGGAGAGCGGCTCCGTCCTGTCCCATTTCCACACCGGCCTGGATTATTATTATTATTATTATTATTATTATTATTATTATTATTATTATTATTATTATTATTATTTTAATAGATCCATGCCTGGAGTCCGCGGAGGACACTTCAAACCCTTTGAATTGGGACACAGCCATTGACTTGAACGGGCGGCCATTTTGGAACCTGGGGTTTGTAACGGCCAAACCCAAACATGGCGCTTCAGGGTGAACCTCTTTTTAAAATTATGGTGGACGGTCCGGCTCCAGAGAGGCGTTTATATGGATTGGTCGTGACACAATCTGAGGTAAGTGTGGTTAACAATGAGCTCACTTTGCGGACACGGACTTTCTATTATTTTATTGGAGCTAATTTTTATAAAGTGTTTTAATCAATATGTGGCCGCGTTAGCTTCCGTTACTGACAACAGCTGTAACGTGAGCGCAGACAAACTACAAATCTAACTACAGATCAACAGCTTTTTCTGTTTCACTTAGTCAGGATTCTACATCAAATTATACAGATAATAATATCAATTGTTTATTGCTCCAGTTAAGTTTGTTACTATGGAAAAATAAACACTAAAGCAGTTGACTTAAATGAAGCCGACAACAATATGTGTATGTGTATTTAATTCAATATAGGCCTGTAAGATTAATCACAATCAAATTGAAATCTCAAAGGCAGCATATGTTTTCCTTAGGCTAAGATAATTTCCTCTACAAACAGCAAAATCTCCTGTTAACCCTGCACTTCAGAACTACTACTGTACTAAATGAAATTCTGACATTAGTTTGTCTTTTCATATCATTATTATCATTATTTTTGTCAAATCTTCAACACATGTTTAAAATGTGGTCTTTGAACAGAATCTATTTATTAAAAGAAACAGCTTGTCAGAATAATGACAATTACATATATTTTCCCCACATCGTTTAAGCCTAACTCAGAATGAAGAACACTTTGTGCTGGACTCTTGCAGGTGTTCTTCAACTGGTGGAACATAACACTGAGACCTGAAGACAGAAATCCTGGACAAATGAGGAGATCCCACCAGGACCTGTTAGGAGACGCCGGACTCCAGAGTGAGAGAAACATGAGCTATTTGACAATAGCTTTTACTATTAATGACAATACATGTTTTATCACCATCATCTTCATCCTAAATTACCAGTGACCTCGTTAAATCATCAGCACTGTTCACCTCACATGAACTCACCGTATTATACTGTTTCACCAGCTGAGAAAAAGATATTTAAAAGCATAAAATACACATTTTTACATACATTTAGAGCAGCAAAAATTTCATGTCATTCTATTACATCAAAATAATATTACTCTATTTGAAGTACAACTGGTCCAGAATAAAAAAAGTATTTGGGGAAACCACCACTCAAGTTAGTAACTGTGTGGAAGTAATGTCTGATTTATCATTTTAATTTACTAAACATTAAATAATTCACAAAATCCGGTGTTTTTACAGGATAGATCACAAAAAGTATATATAAAAAACAATATTATATCTTAAAGGGCCTCGCAAGACACACAAATGTTTAAATCATTTATTGTCATCATGAAGCTATTGTTATTTGCAGACTAATTTTGGAGGAGTGAACAAAAGTTTCAGTCTAACAAGAGTACTGTTCACTATAAAATATATTAATTACACTCAACTAAGCCCAGTTGTTCTCTTCTTCAGGTGAAATCGCTCGTGTGTTTGGACAGGATGTGCTAAATAAAACCATCTCCCTGTGCCAAGGAAATTTTAATGACCTGGAGCGCCTGCCTGACGCTCTGCTCCAGCACATCCAGAGCTTTCTGGAGCCGAAGGACGTGGGGCAGCTCCTACGCGTTTCTCGACGCTTCTGGGAGGTGAGATGAACCGTAAAATATACAAAAACGTAGCACTGTAATAATATTAACATTAAACACCCTCTGCCTGCTCCAGTCACACTTATGTAGTGCAGTAATGAGCCTCAAGTGATTTGGGTTGCCAGTTTCAACGCTGAAATCCAGTTGGTTTAAAAGGACTCTCTCTGGTCTGAATCCTCACTCCCTAAATCCCAGCACCTGTAGTCAGTCATGAGTCAGTGCTAGTGCGACCTCTGCAGCTCAGAGAGTGAATTCTGAAGGTGCTGAGGTTTCACATGATGCTTGGTCTGTCCATATACTGAGAATGAGATAAACATGTCATCTCTCTGTGTAGTCTGGCAACACAGAATCAGTTGTGATTGTTGTACCTTTTTGAAAACAGTGCAGGTTACACACCTCATTACCTCTGCTTTAATCATTGTTTAGTTGAATTATTAGTTAGTAATTAATTAGTTTAATTATTGTAGCTATGGTTCACTCACATTTCAGATTGTTTAACCCTAATTTATTCATTTATTTATTTGTTTGAGCCAGGTACAACAAAAATTCAAAAAAACAATAACAAAAAAACAGGGATAATGTACATGAACATATACATACACATTTTATATATATTATATATATATATATATATATTATAGAGAGAGAGATATTTTTCTAACACCTTTGGAGTGCTTACCTGTTATATACATTGTATAAATACACACATATACTTAAACATATACACACATACATACATATAGGCATCAAAGATATCCTGTACATATATTCAGTATAAATATATATGTACACATATGCATAACATACATATCCATACCTAATAATTGTAATGAAGAAGGCACAAAAATGTGTCATTTATGATCGTACCAAATAAACAATAACCCTAATTTATTCCTGATATAGTCCATGTTTTTCTATAGACAACAGTACCATTTGGAATGTATGCCCCCATTATGCAATGTTTACTTTGTGAAATAGAGGCTTAACTGATGAATGTTTTGTGTTTTGTTTTTGTCTTTCCCAGCTGTCCCAGTCGGAGGGGTACTGGGAGAAGGCGGTGAGGCAGCGGTATAGCACTGTGCCAGACGAGGTGGTGACTCTGGCTAGCAGCATCGGCTGGAAACTCATTTTCATCTCCGGAGCAGATGTCCATTAATTCTCTTAGTCCAGTTCTGTTGTTAAAGTTTGTCTTGTTAGAATTAGGGGTGTGCAAAAATATCGGAATATCGATATATCGTATCATTTAATGTGATGATACAGTATCGATATCATGGGCTACTGTATCGATATTTGACCAAGAGTATTTTTAGGTGTGTTTCTCTAAATTGATTTTGTTACAGTGCTACAGTTTTGTTGCTTGTGGAGTGAAAGGAAGCTCATTTATGCGACACATTTGACATTTTTACAGTTTTGAGGATTAAAATGTAAAAATCATATGAACTTTGCACAAGAAGTGATTTAACAAAGCCTTTTAGTATCACAGCCACGATTTAGCCTTTATTTTTTATTGAACCGTATCGAATCAATTTGAAATATATCATATCGAATCGAAAGTGCACTGTATCGAGATATGTATCGTATCGTGGCCTGTGTATCGAGGTATGTATCGTATCGGCAACT